TACGTGTGAAATGGTTCGTCCTGTGTGAGAAGCCCCTCAAATCTATTGTATACCCATAATCCACCTCGCAGTAAACGCACATCAAAAAACCCGAACACTGCAAGCATACGGAAAGACATGGGTATTGATATTTAAATTTACACAGAAAATATTATGTTATTATGATATGTTACCTTTCAAACAGTACGAAGGCAGCTTGATACATAACGTCTCATGCACTATGAAATTGATTCACCCGCTACCAGACTGGAAGGTGTTAACACAAGAGAAAGCTATGGTCACCATGGCTACAAATGCTGCTTTGACAACAATAACTACAGTGATTTTGACTCCCAACGGACCAAAGCACAATGTATTTTTCACAACATAACAATCAGCAGGGTTTTACATGTCTTCGTAAAAAATATGCTTATTTTCTAAATTTGTGAGTCATGATTTCACAATCGAATTGACACCTGCTGTTTTATAACATGGTTGTTTGCTGTCGATAACACTGTGACAGCAGGACTGAAATACCCGCAGCTGATTGGCTGGTGTGTAGTTATGCCAATTACGCATTGCGACAGTGATACATAAATAGGTTGTGGAAGTTTCTCTTCCAAGTTTCTATGTATAGACTCGTTAGCCCAGTCCAAATATAAGTCCGAAATTCCAATCTAGTTCAGCATGTTCAGCAAAGGTGGAAACTGGACTTTTATAGCTTTTATAACTTTCTTGCCTCGGGAAAATGACGACATTCTCAGAGCGTAAAATGTTTCACAGATAGTTGGTAAAATTTTTTTTCCATATAACACAAACACCTCAAATAATTATTTGGAACGATTTAATAAATGCAACATTGATACAATGCAAAATTCAAACAATGGCTGTTTGCTTTGTAAACCTATGCAACGTTTATACATTTATAACCAGCTTTCGACTCGCATGTTAAAATGGGCAATCTATTGTTCCAAAGGGTGACAACTCCCCTTTTGAAATGATATAAAAAAATGGTCCAACTTCTCGTTTTTCGGCCAGCCTACCAGGTCAATGAGCACTGTGACAACTTGTGGCATGCGAGGTGAGGTTATATGGGGTTTAACATCACGTCCAAGATAATTGCACTTATATCATGTATATAGTCTGTACTAGTCTGGAGTAGATCAAACCCCGAACCTTCAACTCTCCGGGCAGAAGTTCTACCACTAGACCACGGAGGTGAGGTGAAATGGGGTTTAACGTCGCGTCCAAGATTATTGCACTTATAAAGTGATGTGCATGCACGTGTATGTGTGTGTTGCTGCTTGTACTAGTCCAGACTGATGCAGATTTATAGTGCTAGCTCACTGAGATACCATGCCACAGTTTAACATGAATATCCCACTCAGACACAGTATACTGACTCCGAGCCGACTAGTCCTTGTTTTAAGCCCCTTAATGCCGAGCACCAGACAGGGTATCAACAAGTACCACTTTTTAACGTCTTTTGGTATGACGCAGCTTGGGATCGAACCCTGGACCTTCCGCTCTCCGGGCAGACGTTCTGCCACTAGACCACGGAGGTGGTTTTTGTTTGTTTGTTTGTTTGTTATTGTGACATGTAAAGACAGAACTAAGCTCAAATGTTACCCTGTAGCTCCTTCATCTAAAATTATTTGTTTACTCGGTGTTTGAAACAAGGTAAAACAAGACAGGCGGGCAGGTGACCCATAAATGTTGCCTGCCCTTCTTAAAAAATACCCACCCACATTCAGGCATTATAAATATTGAAAACTGTGATAAATGTCAGACAAAACATGTCTTGATTCAGTTGAAAAAAATTATGATAATGAAAACAATTACTTGAGAATCTACTAGGAGTTATAACATGTAAAATAAAACTGAATAAGCAAGTAGGCTAAAGATTATCTGCCATCAGTCAGAGGAAGATTTCCTGCAGCCTGACAGAAAAGTTACAACCCACAGGCAGGCAGTTATTTCGGACACCGCGTTTCCTACTGAATATTTTTAACTAGCACATTTTGCAGTGATTGTTATAGTCTGGAAGTTAATTTAAGGTACCGACCTTTACTACAATGTCTGAAAAACTATTGGACGTACTCCAGTCAAAGTTGGTATGAGATTATTAAACAGTCATACATAACTGGGTATTACATTTAAAGACAATCGGTGCATGAATAAAAAACCTGTCTATTTAGCTATCACTATATTTCATCAACAACCAGACCTGTTCGTCACGGGTGGAACGAGCATTCATTGTAACAGCCATCTGCATAATGCTACCCCTGCGTCACAGGACCATATGACACAGTTGAACTAATCAACTCAACTCGAAAGGTTGCACAGGAATCTGCTATAGTTTAGAATAGCCCTATCTGTTTAGTCTTCAACCAAAACACAAATTGACACAATGAATAATAACGGCCAGGGTTTTATGCGACGCACAACTGTACGCTCCGGTACGCACAAATGTTGTCCCTTGGATGCACAATAACATTCACTGAACCTGAAACGCATAAAGAGCCGTTATTGGTGTATGTCGTGTCATCCATCAATCATGACCATCGTCCACATGATCATTGATTCATTCCAGGCTCTAAACTAATTATCAAAACACACAGGGCACTGCACCATTTCATTACTTTACAGGGCCCTCATATCGCTTGCAAGAACCCTTAAAATAAATTACTGGGGATCCCCCGGATCCCCACTTTTGTAAGTCAAGGTAAAAACCTGTATAAATGGGATACATTTCATGAAAAACGGGGGCGGTTTGGTAGCCTAGCGGTTAAAGTGTTCGCTCGTCACGCCGAAAACCTGGGTTCGATTCCAGACATGGGTACAATGTGTGAAGCCCATTACTGGTATCCCCCGCCGTGATATTGCTGGAATATTGCTAAAAGCAGCGTAAAACCATACTCACTCACTCATGAAAAACGGCATATTGCCACTGCATTTCTTATTGCAGAAAACAATAAGGTATCAGTCTGGCATAACATTGCATCAAGGCCTGGGACAGGTAACTTGGGTACTCATTTTGGTACTTAGTTGGACCCGGGTACCCACAGGACTACCCGGACCCGTGGTTAGTCATGTGAAATATTGTTTAATAACAAAAAATTCACTATAAGTACATGGTTATACAAGTCACTAATGACTTACATATGTTTGAATAAAAATGAAACTTCAGTAAACTTCAGTGTTAATGCACGACCAGATTTTTTTTATAGATGTATCTAAATACATTTTGCTCGGGATACTGTCAAACTATTCCCAATCAGACATTTTGTACCTATCTTTTGAAACCAACAGTGGGTACCCGGGTAGGGTTGGGTAATAAGGGTGTTGGTTCGCGGATAGTAAATTTGGACTCATCCCAGCCCTAATCCCTTTTTGAATCAGACTTTGTGGTACTTCCCACGACAAGTTCTTACTACATGTATCACAGCATTCAAATATAATAAATGGCTTTTAACAAACCATGGACTTCAAATGTAATAAAACGGGAGATATGTCTACATCTGCAGCACACTGGCATCCTTTAGCAGGCCCCATAATAATAGCGGATCTAAAATCATGATAATAATACTAATAATCATGATAATTGAAGGAGAAATAACATGCAGAATATAAAAACTGATTTTCAAATTTTTACTTTTATGTCAACATTTACTCTTACATCTGATTTCCTTATATTAAATTCTGACAAAATCTTTTAGAAATGTACCAAATGAACATGATGAAGATCAACCATGCATCTATCAACCATGCATCAATCAACAATGCATCTCTCAACCAATCAGTTCCTCAGGCACAAAATACCAGTCATTATCATGATTATAGTTGTAAGTAAAACATTTACCCAGCTTATTCAGTCCCTTGTTAAATGTGTCCATTATTTAGTGCTACGAGTCCTAACACATGTTAATTTATTGATTCATTTCTCACAAAATAAGCATGATAAGGGAGCCCAAAATTCTGATACTCCTGTTCTTAAAATAGTTGTAAGATTACAGAGATTTATTGACCCCAACAAACTATTGTGAGGCCACTGAGGGCCCCAGAGGATGTGTAAAATGTAATGGACGATACAATAGATGCAAATGACATTTGCACCCTCTTAGTTTTGTATGTTGACAAGTTATTTCCCTTGCAGCAGCATGTACCTCTCGTATAGCACATACCATATGCGCTATCTGTTTAAGGTTGGATCGGCCCGGTCAGTGCACCTTGAGGGTTAGTGAAGGGAAGATGTATTGGAAAAGATCACCCATTCTGCAGTGTATTTGAAAAAGTCTATCGCAGACCAACGCAAAATTTCTTTACGAGTTCAGCACAAAAAGTTACTTATCATCAGGTGGGTACCGAGTGAGCATTTCCGCTTCTTACGACTAGCATAGGTTACAGGGGACCGATTCTAACCCGGAATCCCTTTACATATGACCAGAGAGGAAAAGAAGCTAAAAGTCCTCAGAAAGATTTGTTGGCAATGTTCGCGTCCCATGTTCATTATCAATTGCCTATCATTCCGACTAACTGACAATGATTGAGAATGATTTCCCTTCTCGGATATTGACAGATCATCGCCAAATTACTCTACGCTTTTGGGCGATGTGGGTTACTTTACCCAAAATTCCGGAAACAATGTCACATGATTTCCTCGGGTCAAGAGGTTTTACATGAATCACAGGTAAGCAAGTCACGTCATTACGGACTCATTGATGAGTAAATCTCATTTCGAACATGAGTCTTCAGGTTAAAAGGCTTAAATATCACTGAAATAAAACAAATCTCGTCACTTAATACATAATTTGTCACTATTCGTGTTTTTACTTGTCCTCGTTTGACACCCACCTAACCGATAGTGTCCACGGGAGCTTTGGGGACACTGATGGCCGTCGCTTCCGTTACATTTAACACTGTCTATCGAAGGAGATAAATAAATATACACATACAGAATGCTCACACGAAATCTGTAAACCTGTTGCTATTCATATCAACTAAATTATGATGTACTATACCTTTTAAATGTCAAAAATTCCTCGTGGAAAGTTGTAATAATAACATAACACCTGGAGCATCACCATGACATGTGTATCCAAAATGGAGGCAGGAAATATGAAACGAATTATTGTCATATCATAAATTGTACGATGACACAAAGTCGATGCAGTTATTTTGACGCATATATATACTTATTATGTAAGGTTTTCTTATAAATAATTGTGATACAAGGATGACAATAGTATGTAATAATACTGAGATTTACTATCCGGAATAGTTTCAATGATTAATTTGTACAAACCTGTCTTCTTTTACCTTCGAGGCGAAAGAGGCTAAAAGTACCAGTTACCTCCCTTTATAAGCAGGCCCACCAAGCTCTTTTCCGCTCTTTGTTACAACAAGCTTTAGTTAGAAAAAGACTATAACACAATTTAAGTCTAAAACACATGCATATTATACAATGTAGATATAACATAAATTAAAAATGATAAAATTATTTATCAAAATGAAGAACCCATTTTACCGACAACATAGTTCAATATGCTGCTTTAAATGTTCCTTGTGTGAAACATTACGGGATTTAGATATGAATCGATAAAGGCAAGCTTGTATCGCGTATCGTATCGTCCGAGAATATTTTCATATTATTGATACACCCATGTATTGGTGAACATATAGGGAAATATATTTTCTTTGCACTTAAGAAACGCAATAGATATTTTAAAGATGTCATTAATTATCCTAAGTAGTATTACTGTCCACTATTGTACATCATAAGGCAACCATTCTGGCGCTCTGTCAAATACATATGTGAGTGTGTATATACTTGTATAATGGTCCGGTGGCCTCATTACGGAATAAGCAACATCAACAAGATAATACTTATCATGGGCGGATACAGCTTTTTGAAAAGGGTGTGGGGTGTGTGTGGGGGTGCACAATTAAGATCTATTTATTGTCTTTGGTGGAAATGTATATAGAAATAAAGATTTTTTTCGAAATAAAAAGGGGGCACGCACTCCCCCCCCCCCCCCCCTTCCCTCCTCTGTATCCGCCCTGTCTATTATCCCGAAGGAAATTTGGGTTACGTACACAAGCACACGGTATGAGCTTTGTGAAAAACATGCACAAGAAAATAAGAACATTACAAGAGTAATTAACATGATATGTGACACCAGCAAATATATGCTCAACAATTATTTAACACACAACGTATTTTAAGACCTAGTTCTAGCTGGCATGGATTAACTCTGGGTTCTGTTCTCCCCATCGGCAATCGTAGTCAGCAGCCAGAAGGAAGAAGTTGATACTCCGAAAGTAAAACATGCGAGTTATCGCTTAACGTGTTATTATCCCCCGCCCAACAAAGTTGATGGGGGGTATAGAAACGGGCTCCGCCCGTCCGTCCGTCACGTTTTGTTTCCGAAGCATAACTCAGAAACCGTTCAATATTCTTTCATGAAACTTTGCAGGTCTGTCAAGTACATGTCATCTTCCCGAGGCAAGAGAAACGTGGAAACTGGACTTTTATAGTCAGTTAACTCCCTTGCCTTGGGAAGATGAGTACATGCTGAACTGGTGCCTTTTGCTAGTAAGAAATTTTAGAAATTTTTATATTTTACGTTTCCATGGCAACAAGATGGACTTAGGTTCTGTGAGGGTAGGGTTCGTTTCCGGAGCATAACTCATAAATCGTTCAAAATATTTTCATCAAACTTTGCAGGTCTGTCAGGTAAATGCTGAACTGGTGCCTTTTGCTAGTTAGAAATTTTAGAATTTTTTATTTTTTACGTTTCCATGGCAGCAAGATGGACTTAGGTTCCAAACTCTTTTTTTATTTTTACAATTTCCATGACAAGTTTAAACTCGGTTAAAAAAGGTTATGGTTTGTTTAGATTTAATTATGTCATAAATTCTGCAACAGTGGCGGGGGATATAGCCACGTTAGTGGCAAACTCTTGTTTTCTTTAAAAACTATTTGCTGTTCAACAATACTGCCGATGTCTGGAAGAGAGATGGCAATTTCGTCGTGTTACAGAGTTTGAGTGAGTGAATGAGTATTGTTTTACACCGCCTTTAGCAATATTCCAGCAATTTCATGGTGGGGGACACCAGAAATAGGCTTCACACATTGTTCCTATTTGGGAATTCCAACCCGAGGTTGCGAAGTTAAATTAAGTTAAAAATATTTAAAATAAACATGGTGACCGTAGAGTCGATTTTGGAAATGTCTTACGGCAAGCATGGGCTGCTGAATACCTACCTACCCCGGATCTTCACGAGGGAGACAAGCATGGGTTGCTGAATACCCATCTACCCCGGATCTTCACGGGGGGAGACAAGCATGGGCTGCTGAACACCTATCTACCCCGGATCTTCAAGGGGGAGACAAGCATGGGCTGCTGAACACCTACCTACCCCGGATCTTCACGGGGGGAGACAAGCATGGGCTGCTGAACACCTATCTACCCCGGATCTTCAAGGGGGAGACAAGCATGGGCTGCTGAACACCTATCTACCCCGGATCTTCACTGGGGGAGACAAGCATGGGCTGCTGAACACCTATCTACCCCGGATCTTCAAGGGGGAGACAAGCATGGGCTGCTGAACACCTATCTACCCCGGATCTTCACGGGGGGAGACAAGCATGGGCTGCTGAACACCTATCTACCCCGGATCTTCACGGGGGAGACAAGCATGGGCTGCTGAACACCTATCTACCCCGGATCTTCACGGGGGAGACAAGCATGGGCTGCTGAACACCTATCTACCCCGGATCTTCAAGGGGGAGACAAGCATGGGCTGCTGAACACCTATCTACCCCGGATCTTCAAGGGGGAGACAAGCATGGGCTGCTGAACACCTATCTACCCCGGATCTTCAAGGGGGAGACAAGCATGGGCTGCTGAACATCTATCTACCCCGGATCTTCACGGGGGGAGACAAGCATGGGCTGCTGAACACCTATCTACCCCGGATCTTCACGGGGGAGACAAGCATGGGCTGCTGAACACCTATCTACCCCGGATCTTCACGGGGTGAGACAAGCATGGGCTGCTGAACACCTATCTACCCCGGATCTTCAAGGGGGAGACAAGCATGGGCTGCTGAACACCTATCTACCCCGGATCTTCACGGGGGGAGACACGCATGGGTTGCTGAACACCTATCTACCCCGGATCTTCACGGGGGGAGACAAGCATGGGCTGCTGAACACCTATCTACCCCGGATCTTCACGTGGGGAGACAAGCATGGGCTGCTGAACACCTATCTACCCCGGATCTTCACGGGGGAGACAAGCATGGGCTGCTGAATACCTATCTACCCCGGATCTTCACGAGGGAGACAAGCATGGGTTGCTGAATACCTATCTACCCGGATCTTCATGTGGGGGGACAAGCATGGGCTGCTGAATACCTATCTACCCCGATCTTCACGTGGGGAGACAAGCATTGGTTGCTGAATACCTATTCTACCCCGGGGCTTCACGGGTCCAAGATCATTGCGTCAAACATACATACACTCTCCAAAAAAAGAAACGCACAGGTAGATTTTTAGTAAATTTATTGTACCTAATAAAGTCGATATATTGAATTTAATACCATATATACAAATATGCAGTCTCCGTAGCTGTGGGATAGCGATGACGTATGTGGAACAGTCGAATGTAACGATCCTACGCAGGGGTGGTAACTCTTGGTCGGCCGGTTCTCGGACGGTCTGCAGTGGAATTGAACTGTGTGTATCGGTCACAAAGGCGGCAAATGGTGCTGTGGTGGACGTTGAAGTGGCGTGCAACTGAATACTGCGATTCCCCTCTTTGGATACGTCCAATGGCGATGTTCCGATCGGCAGCACTGAGTCTCGGCATTTTCGAACTTGAAAAATGTTGACAATTGAATGACAAAGTATTGGCATATACTTGCCTTTTCATACCCACTACCAAGAGTTACGAATGCCATAACTTGCACGTGCATTTTGCTTTACTGTTTTCCTCCATGACATTTTTGAACAAGTGTGAAAACAATGCCGTTTAAGACATTGCAAATCAACAATGGCTGCGTTTTGACGCACCGTTTGTCGAATATCAGGCCACCAACATTTTCCAATAACATATATCCAATTTATATACCGGATTTTTTTGTAGTCAGGTTCAATAAAGTACATACTACCTGTGCGTTTATTTTTTGAAGAGTGTATGTATACGTGTATGTATATGTATTCCTAAGTGTCGTGTAGCCGTAGCCTCGTTTAGATGCAGTTTCCATCAGCTTGGGTGAGTGAGTTGGGTTTAACGCCGTTTTTAACAGTATTGCAGTTATATCACGGCGTGTCAGCTTAATGTGGGAGGAAAGCCCGAAGTGATGCAGGTCTCGGACGTTTACCACTTCGGTGAAACCCACGAGCACGGGTATGGTGCTGGCAAACCTAGAAACATAAACGGGACGAACCGGGATTCGAACCCACAATCATAGGTTTCTGGTGTGCCCAAGGGACACAACTCTGCACAGCGAATCGCGGCGCCTTAGGCGAATGAGCCACCCGTCCCCCCACGCTTAAGCCACTCAAGCGAACATGTAAGTTAGCTATATATGTTCTTAATTTTAAGAATACTATTTTAATCAAACTATTAACGATAAATAAATATGGTGGCTTAAAAGTCTTCCACAGAAGAAGTTTTAACAATTAGCACAAAGAAGTCGGCGCAAGGATTATTTCACGTGGGCCGGTGAAACCCGTTCTCTACTGTGGCTATCGATCGACAGAACCAGCGGAATAATTACTGATGACAGTCAAAAGTAGGACGAAGCATATTAGCGTGATCGTACCATTTCTTTGGCACAGCGGGAAATGGTAAAGGTCCCAGACGTGAATGTATACAGCATAGGTAATTAACCACCGAGACACACCGCCTGATTCCGCCTGATTCCGCCTGATTCACAACCTAGCCAACGACAATACGGGTTATACAATTGTCTGGTTTACAGTGTTCAACGTCGTAGTCTTTCAAACAGCTGTCTTCAATATTTTTTCATCAAACTTTGCAGGTCTGTCAGGTACATGCTGAACTGGTGCCTTTTGCTATTTAGAAATTTTAA